GCCCGAGAGGCAGCTAAGCTCGCCCCAAGATGGACCAGGAGGCCCCCGAAGGAAGTCAAAAAAGGCCCAACAAGGTCCCGAAACGGCCCGAGACGCCTCCAGGACGGCTCAGTCGGACCCCAAGACGGCCATAAGAGAACCTCAGGTAGGGGGACGTGAACTGACTTTTCGAACTCTCCGTCCAAAAGTGACCTTCTAGGCCGTCAGCAGGCGCCATAAAGACGGCCCCAGAGACACCCAAGACGGTCCAAAAGGGCTCCGAGTCGCCGCCGTTCTGCCCAAATGAAATCTCCAAAGACCTTCAGGACCCGCCACCCTGCCCGATCCTATACTTCCTCTAGGAACACAACGGTTCAAAGGGGTCAGCGGATGTAGTGCAAACCTGTCGAATCCACGTCCGGAGGTGACGTGTTGCCGGAGGCAGGTCCGCGGAGAAAATAATGCAACGTATCCTATGTATCCAATGATTGCATAATTGCTACAAGTTGTATTGTGTTACATTATTATGTACCCCCCCTAACCCCCCCCCGAGGGGCCACACCACTTCCGCCGACCCGAAGTGGCCCCTCCCTCCTGCGCCTCGAAAACCTACCAAAACGTATGGAAAATCTGTGATTTGGGCCCCGTCGCCCTCTTGGGGCCCCACGAGGGCGTCCAGAAGGCCCAAGATGGCCTCCGAACGGGCCGAGATGGCCCCCAGACGGCCCGACATTGCCCCAAGAGAGCCCAGGAAACCCCGAGGATGGCCCGAGAGGGCCCTGCGAGCGCCCACAACTGCGCCTCCATAAGCCCAAATCATATGTGTTCCTGTGCCTTTTTTTTTTTTTTGCGAAAACAAAGAAAACATGATTTTAGCGGTCTCGCCTTCTTTCGACTCTCAGAGGCCCACGACGGCCAAAACAGCTTCCAAAATGGTCCCATGAAAAGCTCCAGAGGCTCCGAAGAAGGTCTCAGAACGGCCCAAAATGGCTCCACGACGTCCCAAAGAGGCCCCCAAGACGGTCCAAGAGGCCCCCCAAACGGCCCAAGAGGACCCCAAGAGAGACCCAAGGCGGCCGCGAGAGGCCTCCAAAAGGGCCTCCCAAAGAAGAAACGGCGCTAAAGCGCCGCAAGACAGCCGAACACGCCCCCAAGAGGCCCCCAAGAGGCCCCCAAGAGGCCCCCAAGAGGCCCCCAAGAGGCCCCAAGAAGCACCCAAGAGGCCTCCAAAAAAAACCACAAGAAGCTTCCAAGAGGCCTCAAAGAAGCCTCCAAAAGGCCACACAACGACTGGACGGTAATGTCGATTTTCCCCCTGGGCGAACCGCGGTGCAGCGCCAGCCAGGTGGAAATTTGTCACGGCGGCGCCCATGATTAGAGCCGGCGTTTGAAGGGAGGAAAGGCAGGGATAATGTAAAGGAGGGAAGGGGGAGAGGCCCCAAAGAAACACCCAGGAGGATCAAAGAAACCCCAAGAGGCCTCCAGGAGGCCCCCAAGAGGCCCCCGGAAGCCCCCAGTAGGTCTCGAGAAAGCCCCCAAGAACCTTCCAAGAAGCCCCAAAGAAGCCTCCAAAAGGCCGCACAACGACCGGACGGTAATGTAGTTTTTTTTCCGTTTGGGTGAACCGCGGTGCAGCGCCAGGTGGAAATGTATCGCGGTGGCGCCCATAATTAGAGCCGGCGTTGGAAGGGAGGAAGGGCAGGGATAATGAAAAGGACGGAGGGGGGAGAGGCCCGCGCATGGATGCATGGACCGCCAACTTTTTGCACTGGGCCCTTGAATCGAAAGCTTCGCACTCCCACTATCCCGCGACACACAACTACCTGGTGCACACTCCTTCTCTCGAGAGCAGACGCTCGGGGCGGCTTCGCACCCGGCGGGCGGTGGCGAGAGAGAGCGCTGAATGGCATGGAGGTGAGGCGGCGCCAGTGCGCGCCCTACGCCCTGCGACTCCGCGACGAAAAGGAACTCCAGTGACGAAAAGGGGCTCCCGCGACGACGCGAGGGACTCCCACGACGAACGGGGACTCCAAAGGGACTCGCACGACGAAGAGGGACTCACACCACGAAAAGGATCTCCACGACGAAAGGGGGCTCCAACGACGAAAAGGTTCCCCAGCGACGTGAGGCCACCGACACGAAGAAACAAACACGTACATGAAATAAAAGGGGAAGGGAAAAATCTAAAACGAAAAAAGAGACTCAAGCAACACAAAGAGACGAATCGCTTCGTGGCCGGCTCCCCCCCTCACAATGACAGTGATTTAACTCCCCGTCCTGGTCCGAACCACAGTAAGAGGACGACGCAGAAGAGGAGGAGGAGGAGGAGGCGGAGCCACACTGATTGATTGTCGTATGGTTATTCAAACATTTAAGCGTTCTCGCCTTTGTCGACTCTCAGGGGGCCCTGACCGTCCAAGAGGCCGCCAAGACGGCCCAAGAGGACCCCCAGAGAGCCTCAAGGCGGCCCCGAGGCCACCAAGACGGCCTCCGCAGGAGCTACACCGCGCGAGAGCGCCCCAAGAAGGCCCAAGAGGCCCCAAGAGGCCCCGAAGAAGCCCCCTGGTGGCCACAAGAAGCCCCCAAGAGACACCAAAAGGGTCCCACAAGGGGCCCCAAGAGGCTCCAAAAAAGTCCCACAGCTGGACTGTACGTGGTCCTGACGAGCACCCCGCCAAGCGAAAGGAATCCACGTCCAGAAGTGACGCGTTAAGCAGCAGCGTTTCCTGTGGATGTATAACGCAACGTATCCAATGTGTCCAAGTCTGGCGCTGAAAGGGTGGGGGCGCATCCGCCGCCCCTCTTGAAGACGACACGGCAGACCAGCGACGCAGACCCGCAAAGCAAAACACCCGACGCCCAGTCGCTACGTGCTCCGGACGTGCACCCCGCGAAGCGAGAGGAATCCACGTCCAGAATGAACGTGCTGAGCGGCAGAGTGTTCTGCCCGAGGCAGGTCGCGGAGCGGAGCGGAAACCCTACTGCAACATATCCTGTACATCGACTTGTTGTTTAATTGCTGTGTATCAAATTACTCCAGTTTTGCTATATCTTGTGCGATGCAAAATTCTGATATATACCCCCTTACCCCCCTCCCCGAGGCCACGCCACTTCCGTCGACCAATGGAACGAACATACACTATTTCGGCCTCTTGGGCCTCTTGGGAGCCCAAGAGGGCCTCAAGATGGCTCAAGATGGCCTCGAAACCCGCCAAGACGGCCCCACGGCCCCCAAAACAACCCAAAAGAGCCTCGAGAGGACCCCCAACAGCGCCTCCAGAAGCCCAGATCAGAAAACTTCCATTGGTTCTTGAAGGATTGTAGGGTCCTCCCCTTTTTCTGTTCTCAGAGTGCCAGTCCGAGAAGTCTCTAAGATAGCCCAAAAACGGCCAGTGAGGCCTCCAAGGGGGCCCAAGACGGCCCAAGAGGACCCCAAGAGAGCCCCAAGGCGGCCGCGAGAGGCCCCCAAGACGGCCTCCGAAGGGGCCAACCGTCGCAAGAACGCCCCAAGACTGTCCAAGGAGCCCCCAAGAGGCCTCAAGAAGCCCCAAAAGACCCCCAAGAGGCCCCAAAGAAGCCCCCACCAGGCCCCGCAACGATTGGACTGTACGTGCTCTGGAAGTGCACCACGCGAGGAGAGAAACATCCACGTCTGGAGGTGACGTGCTGAGCAGCAGCGTGTTCCGCGGATGCTGTAATGCAAAATATCCAATATCAGAGTGAGGGGGCCGCACGTTCATTTACTGTCCCTGGGTGCGTGGCTGAAGTGGGACTCCGCGGCATGGATTCTGCTTGTTGTTGCATTGCGTTGTTGTCGTCGTCCCCCCCGCGACCTGGCCCGCGACCCACCCGCGACCTGGCCCGCGACCCACCCGCGACCCACCCGCGAACCACCCGCGACCCACCCGCGACCCACCCCGCGACCCACCCGCGACCCACCCCGCCACCCACCCGCGACCTGGCCCGCGACCCACCCCGCCTCCCACCCGCGACCCACCCACACTGCGCTAACGAAAAAATGTCGGCGCCCGCATGTGTGAAAACGTCGGCGCCTGCGGCGGGCTTCTTCCGAGACGCGCCGACTGCCGACGTCCCCGTCGCCCCCCAGTCTTATCCGCAACTGCGGGTGTCCTCCCTCCTCTTCCTCCTCCTCCTCCTCCTCCTCCTCCTCCTCCTCCTCCTCCTCCTCCTCCCCTCCCCTCCCCTCCCCTCCCCTCCCCTCCCCTCCCGTGCTACGTATTTGATGTGTGTGTTATTGCTTCATATCGCATCATTGCCTAATTCTGAAATTATGTTAGACCCCTACCCCCCGAGGCCACGCCATTTACGTCGACCCAAAAGATGGAGGACCTCTTCTGGGCCCCCAAACCTACAACAATCGAAAAGATAATATATGATTCGGGCCCCTGGGGCCTCTGAGGGGGTCTAAGAGGGCAGAGGCCTCAGTACGAGCCATGACGGCGCCAAGACAATCCAAGATGGCCCCCGGAGGGCCCAAAAAGCTTCCAAGTCGCTCCAAGAGGGCCTGAGGAGCATCCCTGAGAGCACCTCCAGGAGTCAAAATCAGTGACTTTCATTTGGTTTGTCGCCATGACGGCCCAAGCAGCCTCCCAAACGGCCCCAAGACGGCCCAAAAAGCTCACCAGAGGGCCCCAAGAAGGACCAAAAAGGACCTGAGACGGCCCAAACAAACCCCCACCAGGACCCGCAACGACTGGACTGTGCGTGCTCCTGACGTGCACCCCGCGAAGCGAAGGGAATCCACGTCGGGAGGTGACGTGCTGAGCGGCAGCACTTTTCAGCGATCGCGCTATTGCAACGTATCCAACGGATACAACTGTTGCATGAATACTACATATTGTATTAGGTCTCCATGAATATGTCTCCCTCCCTGACCCCCCCGCCCCAGGCCAACCACGACACGACACGACACGACAAGACACGCACGCGCGCGCGCGCAAGCGCGCCCGCTCAGACGGAGAGGCGGGCGCACGGGGCGTCATCTGTGCGGTGCGCGGAGCCTCCGCGAGCGCAGTGTGGACGTCGGAGAGCACGGCCTTCGCCACGAGCATGAGCTGCAGCGCCTCCCGACGGTTACACACACACGACACGCACGCACGGAAGATGAGGGGCAACGATACGAGGGGGACTGGCATAGGATGCACTCTCAGGCCTCCCTCCTCGCCCACAACATTGGCGTAATCCAGGCTGCGCGTAAAACACAAGCAATGATAAAACAAGCAATGGACGAACCAACAGTACAGCCCCGCCCAAATGGTCCAGTGCGATGGCAGGACGACCTCAAAAAACTAATGTGCAGCTTTCTTTCTCTCCAGAATAGGGGGGGAAACATCGACCTCGAATTGGCGATACATCGCCGATAGATCGGCGATAGGCCCCCGATGGTGAATCTGCAAGCTCCTGGGCAGGTTGGGGCTATCTCGGGCCCCAATCGGCGATCAATGGTCAATGGGCGATTAGGGATCGATGCATCTCCCATATGCCTATCCCCCCCTATCGTTGCCCCTGAAGGTAATTACGGTCGGACCTGGGACGGAGGAACATCCTTCAAGAACGCGAGACCCTCCGCCGGCCAAAACGCACACAGGACATCCAAGGGCCCCACCCACCCCAGGATGCACGAGCCCGCCCAACAAACACGAGGATCACCAGGGTACCCTTTCCGAACCAACCTCGAACGAGGATTGGACGTGCGGCAGCAACGAGGCTGTGATGACCTGAGCAGGACCGCGGGCACGTGACAGAGCAGCAATCATCGAAAGTTGGCCGCCTAGGAAAGTCCTGGTACTCGCCATCTGCTTGGAGTTCCGTTCAAGCGTTTACCTCCGCGTGAGATCCAAGTGAGGCTCGACCGACTCACAGTCGAACATGGCATGCCCCAGGCCGCTCACCTTCAGGATTGCGCAGATGTTCAAATGGATAGCCTGGGAGGAAAAAGGGGGAAGAGAGGAAGGACGAGGATGGCAGGGAGGACAGAGGGAACAAATTCTGCTAGGCTCCCCTCCGCTGGACCTCCGAAAACAAAGGAAATGCCGACAGCTGCGCGGCTCTCAGCGCCCGGGGAGAGGAGTCATAGTCTGGATCTGATTAAGGCCGCGCTCCGCTGCACCCTCAGCGAGCTCACGGAAGCGAAGACCGTTGCCCTGCTAAAAGCGCCCAGAGAGGAGAGTCATAGCTTGGACCAGGATAAGACCGCACTCTGCTGCACCCCCCAGGAGCTCACGAAAAGGCCGACAGTTGCGCAGTTGGCGGCGCCCAGGAAGGGGATGTAGGAGGCAGGTAAGTGTACGAGGTCGGAGGCAAGATGAGAGAGGAATGGAGGAGGCAGAAAGAGGCGGGGAGGAAGAGGAAGAGGAGAAAGACGAGGAGGAGGAGGAGGAGGAGCAACAGGTGCCCCATCCCACACGAGAATCCATCCAGAAGAGGGTTGTGGGGAAACCCAAAAGTTACAGATACCGCTACTGCCCGGATCTCTCCCTGGGTGCGTTCTGACCACAATTCCGAGGCGAGTCCAGCGGTGGCGACGAGGAACTCCCAGGAGGCCCGAAAGGTCCAGAAATCGAGGCAAGGATGGCGACAGCGGTACCTTCTCCTCCTCTGGGAGGAGAGAACAATCCTACTCACCAGCAGAGGCAGGCGGGAAACCGGGAGCCCCAGCGACGCGGCCGCCCCCCTCCCTCCTCCTGCTCCTCCTCCTCCTCCTCCTCCTGCTCCTCCTCCTCATCCTCCTCCTCCTCCTCCTCCTCCTCTTCCTCCTAATGATCCTCTTCCTGCTCCTCCTCCTCCTCCTCCTCCTCCTCCTGCTCCCTCCTCCTCTTCCTCCTCCTCATCCTCCTCCTCCTCTCCTCCTCCGCCTCCTCCTCCTTCTCCTCTTCCTCCTCCTCCTCCTCCTCATCCTCCTCCCCTCTCTCTCCTCCTCCCCTCTCTCTCCTCCTCCCTCCTCCTCCCTCCTCCTCCTCCTCCTCCTCTTCTTCCCCTCCTATCCTCCTCCCTCCTCCTCTCCTCCTCCTCCTCCTCCTCTCCTCCTCCTCCTCTCCTCCTCCTCTCCTCCTCATCATCATCATCATCATCATCATCATCATCATCATCATCATCATCATCATCATCATCATCATCATCATCATCATCATCTTCATATTCATCTTCATCTTCATCATCATCATCATCATCATCACCATCATCATCATCACCATGATCATCATCATCATCATCATCATCATCATCGTCATCATCAGCTTCAGCAGCAGCGTCATCATAAACATCATCATCACCATCATGCTCCTCCTCCTCATCATCATCATAATCCTCATCACCATCACCATCACCATCACCATCATCATCATCAGCATCATCATCGTCTTCATCTTCATCATCATCATCGTCATCATCTTCCTCCTCCTTCTCCTTCTTCTCCCCCTCCTCCTGCTCCTCTTTCTCCTCCTCCTCTTCCTCCTCCCTCCTCCTCCTCCTCTTCCTCCTCCTCCTCCGCCTCCTCCTCCCTCCTCCTCCCTGCCTCCTCCTCCTCCTCCTCGTCCTCCTCCTCCTCATCTCATCATCCCTCCTCCCTCTCCTCCTATCCTCTCTCCTCCTCTCCTCCTCCTCTCCTCCTCCCTCTTCTCCTCCTCTCTCCTCTCCTCGCCTCTCCTCCTCCTCCTCTCCTCCTCCCCCTCCTCCTCCTCCCCTCCTCCTCCCTCCTCCTCCTCTCCTCCTCCTCCTCCTCCTCCTCCTGCTCCTCTCCTCCTCCCCCTCCTCCTCCTCCTCTCTCCTCCTCCTCCGCCTCCTCTCCCTCCGCCTCCCGTCCTCCTCCTCCTCTCCTCCTCCTCGTCCTCTCCTCCTCATCATCATCCCCCTCCTCTCCTCCTCCTCCTCCTCCTCCTCTCCTCTCCTCCCCCCTTTTTTTTGTTTTTACTCCTCCCTCCTCCTCCTCTCCTCCTCTCTCCTCTGCTCCCTCTCCTCTGCCCCCCCTCCCTCTCCTCATCCTACCTCCTCCTCCTCCCTCCTCCCCTCCTCTCCTCCCTCCTCATCCTTCCTCCTCCTCCCTCCTCCTCCTCATCCTCCTCTCCTCCCCTCCTCCTCCTCCTCTCCGCCTCCTCCTCTTCCTCCTCCTCCTCCTCATCCGCCTCCTCCTCTCCTCTCCCTCCTCCTCCTCCTCTCCTCTCTCTCATTCCTCTCCTCCTCTGATTCCTCCTCCTCCTCCCCTCCTCCTCTCCCTCTCCCTCCTCCTCCTCATCCTCCTCCTCCTGCCTCCTCCTCCTCCTCCTCCCTCCCTCCTCCTCCTCCTCCTCCCCTCCTCTCATTCCTCCTCCTCCTCTCATTCCTCCATCCTCCTCCCCTCCTCCTCCCTCCTCCTCCTCCTCCTCCTCCTTCCCATCTACTCCTCCTCCTCCTCTCATTCCCCTCCTCCCCATCCTCTCTCCTCCTCGCTACTCATTCCTCTCCTCTATCATCCCCTACTCCTCTCCTCCTCCTCCTCTCCGACTCCCTCCTCCTCCTCCTCCTCCTCCTCTGCGCGCGCACGCGCCTCCTCCTTGGAAGGCGGGGGCTCGCCCCGCGCCGTCGAGTGCACTGCGAGCAGACGGCGCTCTCGTCGCCCGGGGCTGCCGCCGTCCGCCTTCGTGCGAGGGGGGCGGACGGGCTGACTCTCGCCAGCGGCGCTGGAGGGTCGGGCATCCAGGATTCGACTTGGAATCGGGCGTACACTGGCCCCCTGCCTTCCTCCTCCTGCTCCTCCTCCACCTCCTCCTCTCCTGAGCGGGACGCTAGAAGGGGACCAGCTCAGAGGGGAAACATCGAACCTCCATTCGGCTCGAGGGTCGAGAAGTCAAGGATCTACGCTTTAAGGACGCTTCCAGGGGAGGGCATCCCTGAGGACCCCGGGGGGGGTCGCGAACGTTCGTCCACGGCGCTCACGATCTTGTTCACTTCGCGAGGCATGCGCAGCAACATCGGGCCCCTGAAGCTCGACCCGAGGCCAAAAGGCTCCTCGGACTCCAGTCGACAGCCTCGAGAATCAATGAGTTGGGGCGCCTCTTGCCCTGTGGCAGCCTCCCCAATCCCCGTTAAACGCACGTCCAACAAGCGCCCCAACTTGGACTCGCCACCCAAAAAACAGTGTCGTCCCAGATCCTCACCTTCGGACATACTTTCGGAGATACTTGAAGGCTCTCCGAGGACGCACGTCCGGGTGGGGGCGACACCAGAGTGCCCCCAAGGCTCATGCAGCCCTGAAAGAAAAAGGGTTTCCGGAGTTCTTCAGCGCCCAGACCCCCAGTTTCCCAGGTGCTTCCTGGCGCTACCCAGCGCGCCCAGGGTGTTCCGGGCTGGCCTCTGGGACGGCAACCCTGCCCAGGAAGGCCCCCAAACGGGCCTGGATGGCCCCAAGAGGCTCCCAAAACGGGCCAAGAGGGCCCCAAGTCGCCTCAAGATCGCTCCCAGACGCCCAAGATGGCCTCAAGACGGCCGAAGAGGCCCCCAAGACGCCCCAAGAGGGCTCCAAGAGGCCCCCCCAACAGGGCCCCAAGATGTCAAGATCAGCGATTCCCCAAAAATGTTCAAAGGATGTTAGTGCTCTCCGCTTTTTCTGGCTTTCGACATGCCCAAGACAGCCCAGGAGGCCCCCACGATCGTCCCGAGGGGACCCCCAAGAACGCGGCCCACGACGGCCCCGAGACAGCCCAAGAGGCTCCCAAGACGGCCCAATAGGGCCACAAGGGGTGCCCAAAAGAGGCCCCAGAGGGGGAGCACGAACGGACATTTCGAGCCCGTTGCCCCAAGATGGCCCCCGAAACCGCCAGCAGGCCCTTAAAAGGCCCCCCGCAAGCTCCGAGAGGCCCCCAAGAGGCCCAAATCAGGCCCCAAGGTGTCCCAAAGAGACTCCCGAGAGGCCCCCAAGACACCTCAACAAGAGGCTCCTGGGAGGCCTCTCCAGAAATCCCAACAAGCATCCCAGAGGCCTCTAACCTACAATGCAGGCACGGTGGCGGGATGTGTCAAATGCCATAAGAAACTCGTCCTCCTTTTTCTCCACCTCCGTCTTGTCGTCCCTTCTCCCTCCTCCGCCTTCCTCCTTTCTCTTTCTCCTCCTCCTGATCCTCCTCCTCCTGCGAATTACCATCCTCATCCTCGTGTTCCCTCCTCAACCTCGAGAATACGGAGGGAAGGCAAGTGCGAAAACGAGGAAGGAAAACGGAGGAGAAGGAGAGAGGAGAAAAGGCAGGATGGGGAACGACAACTGAAAAAATTAATTATGCTAACGGAGTTCCCCACATAAAGATGTTACGGGGTTCCATTGCTTCTTGTCTGCGCTCTGGTGGGTCCTCCCTGGAGGGATGGGAGGGGCACGAAACCTGATGAATAATATGGTGTGCGAATACCCTGCCCGCTCTGGTGGGGCCTCCCTGGAGGGGTGGGAGGGGCACGAAACCTGATGAATAATATGGTGTACGGATACCCTGCCCGCTCTGGTGGGGCCTCCCTGGAGGGGTGGGAGGGGCACGACACCTGATAAATAACATGGTGTGCGAATACCCTGCCCGCTCTGGTGGGGCCTCCCTGGAGGGGCGGGAACGGCACGAAACCTAATAATAAAATATGGCGTGCGAATACCCTGCCCGCTCTGGCGGGGCCTCCCTGGAGTGGCGGGAGGGGCACGAAACCTGATAAATAATATGGTGTGCGAATGCCCTGCCCGCTCTGGTGGGGCCTCCCTGGAGGGGTGGGAGGGGCATGAAACCTGATAAATCATATGGTGTGCGAATACCCTGCCCGCTCTGGCGGGGCCTCCCTGGAATGTTGGGAGGGGCGCGAAACCTGATAAATAACATGGTGTGCGGATACCCTGCCCGCTCTGGTGGGGCCTCCCTGGAGGGGTGGAGGGGCACGAAACCTGATAAATAATATGGTGTGCGAATACCCTGCCCGCTCTGGCGGGGCCTCCCTGGAGGGGTGGGAGGGCACGAAACCAGATAAATAACATGGTGTGCGAATACCCTGCTCGCTCAGGCGGGGCCTCCCTGGAGGGGTGGGAGGGGCACGAAACCTGATAAATAACATGGTGTGCGAATACCTTGCTTGCTCAGGCTGGGCCTCCCTGGAGGGGTGGGAGAGGCACGAAACCTGATAAATAACATGGTGTGCGAATACCCTGCTCGCTCAGGCGGGGCCTCCCTGGAGGGATGGGTGGGGCAGGAAACCTGATAAATATCATGGTGTGCGAATACCCTGCTCGCTCAGGCGGGGCCTCCCTGGAGGGGTGGGAGGGGCACGACACCTGATAAATAACATGGTGTGTGAATATCCTGCTCGCTCAGGCGAGGCCTCCCTGGAGGGGTGGGAGGGGCACGAAACCTGATACATAATATGGTGCGCGAATACCCTGCTCGCTCAGGCGGGGCCTCCCTGGAGGGGTGGGAGGGGCACGAAACCTGATACATAACATGGTGTGCGAATACCCTGCTCGCTCAGGCGGGGCCTCCCTGGAGGGGGTGTGAAGGGGCACCGAAACCTGAATGATAATATGGTAGTGCGAATGCCCTGCTCGCTCAGCGGGCTCACCTGAGGGGTGGGAGGGCCACGAACCTGATAATAAGGTGTTGCGAATACCCTGGCCCCGCTCTGGTGGGCCTCCTTGGAGACTTGGAGGGTGGAGGGGCACTAACATGATAAATACATGGCGTGTCGAATACCCTTGCTCCGCTCAGGCGGGGCCTCCCTGGAGGGTGGGAAGGCGCGAACTGATAAATAATATGTGTGCGAATTACCCTGCTCTCTCGGGCGGCCTCCCTGGAGAGGTGGAGGGGCACGAAGCCTGGTAGAATAATATGGTGGGCGAATGCCCTGCTCGCTCAGGCGGGCTCCTTGGAGGGGTGGGAGGGGCAACGAAACCTGATAATAACATGGTGTGCGAATGCCCTCGCCCTGGCGAAGGGGGCCTCCCTGGAGGGGTGGGAGGGGCACGACACCTGATGAATAACATGTTGTGCGAATACCCTGCTCGCTCAGGCGGGGCCTCCCTGGAGGGGTGGGAGGGGCACGAAGCCTGATACATAACATGATGTGCGAATGCCCTGCTCGCTCAGGCGGGGCCTCCCTGGAGAGGTGGGAGGGGCACGAAACCTGATAAATAACATGGTGTGCGAATGCCCTGCTCGCTCAGGTGGGGCCTCCCTGGAGGGGTGGGAGGGGCGCGAAACCTGATAAATAACATGGTGTGCGAATACCGTGCTCGCTCAGGCGGGGCCTCCCTGGAGGGGTGGGAAGGGCACGAAGCCTGATAAATAACATGGTGTGAGGAAAAGCATGGTATGGTATGGGATGGTGGATGCATGGTATGGTATGGTAAGGTATGGTATGGAGTGGCATGGTATTGGTATGGTATGATACAGTATGGGATGGTGGAGGAAGCGGGAGGAGGAGGAGGAGGAGGAGGAGAGGATGTTCTGGGAAAACAAGAACCCCACTCAGGATGTGGGGAAATAGTAAAAATTAGCCTGGCGAAGAACCCAACCATATGCAGTTGTCAGTACCGCAGCTGCGGGTTTCATCTTCAATGGAACTCCCCATAGGACTACGGAACGTGTGAGGGGTGTGCCGAGATGGGTGCCACTGGGGCATTCGGCGAAGCTCCCTATGGGGACATGAAACACGCGCGGGGCGTGCCGACAAGGGTGGCGGAAACGCATGTGCGGGCCGCCACTGGGGCCTCCAGTGGAGCTCCCTATGGGTCCCCGAAACATGATGCTGCTGCGGGGGGGGGGGGCGGGATGGGTGGCGGAGACGCATGTAAGCGCCGCTACTGGGGCCTTCGGTGGAGCTCCCTATGGGGCCACGAAGCGCGTGAGGGGTGTACTGGGATGTGTGGCGGGGACGCATGTGACCGCCGCCACTGGGGCCTTCGGTGCAGCTCTCTATGGGGCCACGAAACGTGTGAGGGGTGTGCCGAATTGGGTGCGGGTGGTGACGCATGCGGGCGGCAGCACTGGGGCCTTCGGTGGAGCTCCCCATGGGGCCACGAAAACTGTTGTTGTGAGGGGCGTGCCGGGATGGGTGGCGGGGACGCATGTGAGCGCGGCCGCTGGGGCCTTCGGTGGAGCTCCCTAAGGGGCCACGAAACGTGTGAGGGGTGTGCCGAATTGGGTGGGTGTGGGTGACGCATGTGAGCGCCGCCACTGGGGCCTCCGGTGGATGATGGGGCCACGAAACCTGTCAGGGATGTGCCGAAATGGGTGTACGGGACGCATGCGCATGTGAGCGCCGCCACTGGGGCCTTCGGTGGAGCTCCCTATGGGGCCACGAAGCGTGTGAGGGGTGTGCCGACTTGGGTGTGCGTGACGCATGCGGGCGGCAGCACTGGGGCCTTCGGCGGAGCTCCCTATGGGGCCACGAAACGTGTGAGGGGTGTGCCGAATTGGGTGTGCGTGACGCATGCGGGCGGCAGCACTGGGGCCTTCGGCGGAGCTCCCTATGGGGCCACGAAACGTGTGAGGGTGTGCCGAATTGGGTGTGGGTGACGCATGCGGGCGGCAGCACTGGGGCCTTCGTTGGGGCTCCCTATGGGGCCACGAAACGTGTGAGGGGTGTGCCGAATTGGGTGTGCGGGACGCATGCGGGCGG